ATTAATATTTCATGTTACAAGCAGCTAGAAAGGGTGTCAGTCTGGAAACTTGCAAAGTGCCTACTTTGTAGTGAGTATTGTGACAGCTTTAACCTTTGTGGCACAAATGCCCAGGAGCCTTTATTAATTTTTAATATAAAATTATTTAGTAATGTCTACACATTGGATGTTTCCACAGTAATTACTTCATGACAAAGACAACCACCAGCTTTCCTCTTTGACTGACAGCTTTCCATCAAGCCTTATATATATAACTCCTGTCTGAAACAAAACCTCATATCTCCATTTTTGTAGCTTTGTGCTTTTCTACAGAATTTGACAATACTAACTGAGCTTTACAATGTGCCAAAATTTCACGATGAACAGAACAACAGAAATGCTCCAAAAGTGCTTGGAAAAAATCTAGTTCCATTTGCTTCCATTCAAAGTTAAGAATGTTTTTTTGCTTCTCCTGTAAAATTAACATTTTGGAGATATGAGGTTTTGTTCCAACAGCAGCAATATGTACACCACATAATGTTGTATATTTTAGGTCTATTTTTTATGTTTCTGACCCTTCTCTGTTTCACTCTGTGCATCATTCTGAGCTACCAGCAGTGCTGTAATTACATCTCTGTTGCTGGTAGAATGGATCTTGCTGAGCTGGCCTCTTTGAACTCCAGGTTAACAGAATGATCATGATCTAAAACACATTTACCAAATGAATCTGTATGATCTGAATGATTTTGTAATGATATTTTGAACTTCTCTCCTGTCCTGCAGAACCTGACTGTCTTTGAAGAGTATGACTGCTTGAGGCTGGTGGCTCAGAATCCTCTAAATAATGGAATGATTGAAGCTGAGCTGGCACAGATTGGAGTCAGTTGGTCTAGCTAGACTTTAGTCAAAAACAATGTCTTGCAATTTTAAAAAAAATTCAGTGAGATGTGAGATCCAAAAACTGATTATAGATTATTACTGGGAGAGTGCTGATATGTAAGAGATATTTTCTATCATCTATTTCTATCATCTATGTTCATCTGTTCCAGATTCTGGTGGGTATTTCTTAGGTCATCTGATCGCCATGCTTTTCTCTCACCATGGCCAGGGCTGATTATTACCCGTTTCTCCTCCAGATAACAGTTAGAGTCGATCACACCACAAGTGCATTTAATTAGAGCCCTTGTCTAATAAAGTACATGATCACTTCTCTCAATTAATTGTGTTCAATCTAAAGGGGATTTATTGGCATGACCATATTAAAATCAAAACATTCAAAGCAGTGTTTATCATACATCGGTGTATTAATTTGACAACATTCAAACATTGAATTCTACCTATATCAACAGTATTACTTTGACTATTTTAACTATATATGTTAAAGGTGCAGTGTGCAAGATGTAAGGAGATCTGTTAGTAGAAATGGAATATAATATACAAAACCATGTTTTAATTAGTGTATAATCACCTGACTATGAATTGTGTTTTTGTTTTTAGTTTAGAATGAGCCCTTCATATCTACATAAGGAGCGGGTCGTCTTCCAATAGAGGGTGCCATGTTGTACTGCCATGTTTCTATGGTAGCCCTGAAGAGACAAACCAAACACAGGCTTTAGAGAGTGCCTTTCTTGTTTTTACGTTAAAGTGGCAGCTTGAATTTGCTGGCACTGTAGCATCGTTTGGAAGGCGGAGTGGTTGCTGCCGGAACAATGGAGGATCATACTTATAATTTAGCACAAGAAACAGCAATGGAGGGTGAATTCTCATCATCACAGAATCGAAAACTTGAAGAAGCAAAACGAAATCGGGACAGGCGACAGCAGAAAACCTGACAGCCATCACAGCTTCTACTACATGCTTGGAAAGGGAGGGGTGAGGGAGGGGGATCTGTGACCCCACCACTATATGCCACTAAATCTTACACACTACATCTTCGAACTACAAACCAGTGCCACTGCTGACATTATACCAGTGTGCCACAGAGTTCTTCAAGTGCAGAGACTTTTTTCTTTGAATTGATTCAAGTATTTTTTCTCTGTTTCTCTTTTAGGATGAGATGATGCTCTTCTTGAATGATATCTTTTCTATGGAGGAGTGGTTGTATGCATTGCCTAGGCCTCTCGCTAATGCTGTGTGGGAGCGTCTCCAGTATCACATCAGGCAGCTCCCGAAGTGGCTGGAGGTTGTCTGTTGTCCCAGCATTTCTTTGGATCCATTATTCTTTCATGTCCTTCTGTTTCATCACTTGCTACATCATTATAATAAATAAATCAATCAATAAATAGGAATAAGAATAAAACATATTCTTTTTTAAATACTCCACAGCCAAGTAGAGAAATAATTAAGAAATAATACCTCCATAGCTAAATACTCTTTAACCACTAATACCCTGCAGCTAAATACCCTTTAACCATTAATTCCCCACAGCTAAATACCCCTTAACCATCAATATCCCACAGCTAAATACCCCTTAACCATCAACATACCACAGCTAAATACCCTTTAACCATCAATACCCCACAGCTAAATACCCTTTAACCACTAATACCCTGCAGCTAAATACCCTTTAACCATTAATTCCCCACAGCTAAATACCCCTTAACCATCAATATCCCACAGCTAAATACCCCTTAACCATCAATATACCACAGCTAAATACCTTTTAACCATCAATACCCCACAGCTAAATAACCCTTAACAATCAATACCCCAGAGCCAAATAACCCTTAACAAATAATACCTCCACAGCTAAATACCCCTTAACTATCAATCAAAAACGTTTTTTATTTGTTTCATGAGAATGGATTTACGCTCTTTCCATTAAATAATGCATGATAATGTGGGAGACAAACATGCTATCTTGATTTCAATTAGACCCAAAGCATATAGACTTGGGTCAATATCTGATGTTTTTATTCTATGTATGAATTTAAATATTCGATTAGAGTGGTGTCTTTATCTGCTTCAGAAGAAGGAAAAAAGGAGGTGGGATATTTTTTGTGAAGAAGACTGTACAGAAGGATATTGTGCCTGTTTGTGTAGGTATAGCCAGGTGTGGACTGAAGCAGACTGAAGACTCTCCACAAGGGAGAGCCATTAACACTCATGTAGCTTTTGTGTGTGTCACTGAAAAAAAGGAAACTGATCTTAAGCCAGCAGGATTTCACAAATGCATGCAGGCTAATTCTAATAAACCATCTCCAAGTAAAATTAATATTACTCAGTTAAAATGATTAATTATTTTAGGTGATTTACCACATACCCACCCACAAACTTTGTGATTTTTGTGTTTGATTTGGACCCTGACCACTGAGTACAAAAACTTCATGCTCATTCAATCGCAAGCCAAATAACCAGCACAGCCCACGTGCTGCGATGTTTTACGGTTTCTCCTAGTGTTTATGTTTCCTGCCATAATGCGCTACAATCACCAATAAATGTGATATTATTATGTTAAGTAGCTATCATGGCACTAAGCTAAGGAATAAAGTGAACACGTCTAAGAACAAGATCAATTATGTGATTATATCCTCTTATTCCTTAATGCTTTTGATTAATATTTAACATTCACATTTGACTTGTGAACGAATGCAGTTTTATACATGTTGGCTATAGGAATATATAATGCCCCCAGCACTGGGCTGTGGAGCAGTGGAACTGCATTCCTTGGAGTGATGGAGCTCCATCCAATACCTTCCAACATCACTACCTGACCTCACTAATGCTCTTGCTCCTGAATGCAATCAAATCCTCACAGCAATGATGTAAAGCCTTCCAAAAAGAGTAGACGCTGTTACTGCAGTTACTGGGCACAAACTCTCCATTTAACACATTTGATTTCAGAAGAAACGTTGCTTAAACCTGTCCACAAACTTTTTTAAACATATAGTATATGTATGTGTTCTTCTCAGTTAGTAAATTAAAAATGTGTGTCCTTCTACATTAAAATTTATTAGTGCAGCACAGATTAGATAGTCTAAGAATATGTTTTACATCTATTTTTTGCCTGTTCTAATCACTGGTCTAGTAATCGTGACTGTGGTACGCATAAGGCTCAGTGCTGAGTTCTGCTCTTCTGTATGAACTTTGAGTTTCAGCTCAAAAATGGAATCCCAGCACGTCAGTGTCCTTATATGGTAAACTTCCTGTTGGACGCCGTTGCGTCACTGCAGGGGCGTGAGAGCGTGAGGGAGGGGAGGGGGAGAGGGAAGAGGGGGACAAAACAGAATGGCAATTAGATTCAGCGCAGTGGAGGGGCTGCAGGGTCGTCTTATTTATTTTTTATTTTTTCGCATTTGCATCGACTTGACCAACACAATCGTTTGAAAGAGCTCAGCAGGCACGTTTTAAATTGTTATTAAACGCAGATTGCATATTTGCTTGGGAAATGTGTTTTTGCTCAAAGGTACATCTTTGACGGACAGTCACAGCTGACGCAGAGATGAACACTCGCAATCCACCTGAGTGACATTTTCTCATCGGTAGCTGCAGAACGATTCAAGCTGCATTAACATTAAACTCACAGCATTCACCATTTTTTGCAAGGAGAGGCTGTCACGAAGGGTCTGTTGACCCTGACAGCATGCATATGAATGCATATATATCAAGCACTGGTAATAAAGTCATTATTACAGATCATTACAGGTTTAACTGCTACTTGTGCCATATTTTTTTCACGATGTCACATCTATATTGTTTAGATTTTCAGTGCAGAGGAGGAGGAGGGGGGACACATCAGTATTTTATGAATGAACATGTTGCACGTGCCACATCGCCCTCTCACGGGGGGAGACCTGGCATGCTGTATTGCATATTTATATGAATCTGTAACGTTCGATTTGGGTCGTTATGAATTGTAATCGGGCTGTTAAAACAGACTGGCCTTATTGTTGATTGGTTTATGGCGTTAAGATGTTTTTATTTGCTGCGTGCTGTACAGAGACGCTCCCCACAGTCAGATGGTACATCCTCGGTTCATTCATAAAAATTCTGGGGGAATATAAGGAGGAGCTTGCAGAGCAGTCTGTCAGTGGCCAGGTTTACAAACCTGGGGAAAGGGAGCCTCGAGTACCAGCAAAGGAGAATCTGGCTGACAGAGCAGATCGAGCTTTATCTCTGCGCGTTTTTGGATCGTGTCTAGCGGAGAGATGTTCCTCAGCAAAGTGAACGGCGTCGACTCTGCGCCCCGCTGCAGCTCTGCATCTCCGGACGGGGACACCCTCGCAGGTTACCAGCCGATGGAGACCACACAGGTAGGTGGTAGGAGGGCAGGAGGGGGAGGGGGTGCGGGGTAGCAAAGCGAACGTTTTGTAGAAGGTTGTTTAAATTCATGCCAACATTTCTTAAAGCAAGAAAAATGGCTCTGTTTGTCAGCCCTGTTTATTTGCAATGGGTTGCCCACATTACGAAGCGGCAGTGGATGGAAATGGGAAGCTGTGGGATGAGGATGACTTAAATTTCATTTAACATGTTCATTTTCTGAATGACAGTCTAACCAGCAGAGTCTACTGCTTTCCACGACACAGCTCCACCATCATTGCCCACCATAGATAAGCATGATAAGGCTGTACACTGACGATGAGAGCGCATATTCTCCCACACTGCCCAAAATCCGCTGCTGTTGCGCATGGTTGGCATCTGTCTTGCTTTGCAGTCAGACACTTGAAGCTGCTCTGCAGCGGTTTGCTGAGAGAAAGCAGCCCACTGAGGAGACTCCACAGCAGGGCTGCGTCAGCGCTGACGTCAGACACAATGCAAAAAAAGAGTCAAATATTGATCCGAGGACTATTTTTGGATGCCTACATGTATTTAAAGAAAGAGCCATGTGCGCTGCACGGCTCATACGTCACAATAGGCTAACATCGCCTTAATATTCACACGGATAAGCAGAACGTGTCAAAGCTTCAAACGTCACATGAAAAAAGCCACATTAGATGCTGTTTGCTTAAAGCGTTATCTGCTGCCTAATCTTGGTGTTAACAAGTGCGTTTCGACACAGGGGGCCGTTTCTGACCGAGAGGCGTCTGCGACTCCGTTTGTTCCTACGGTGACTGCGATCTCGACCACCCCAGACTTGCAGTGGATGGTCCAGCCCACCATCGTCACGTCCGTCTCGCCGTCTCCGGGCAGAGCTGCAGCCAATGAGGCGCAGAGCTCCCTCAAAACACACGGGGGCAAGGGGAAAAGCGCCTCCAGGAAGGGGAAAGTCGAGCAGGTAGGCAAAACGAGCCCCTCCCCTCATGTAGCTGCTGCTGCCCGAAGAGCCCATAAGGTTGATTTCTTAATGCTCTTGTCTGAAATATATGAGGTAGCAGCAATGCCAGTTGTGCAGCAGTTGATGGGCATGCATGCTCTCCAGGAGCTGTGCCTGGGCAGGGTGCCTAGAAGCAGGCATCCACTTCATATTCACATCACGGTGTGTCTGCAACAATGGGCTATTTTTAGACGCATTGCAGAAAGACAGGGAGTGAGAGAAAGGTAGAGTGAGAGAGGGAGAGGAGTGCGCTTGCCATTTTCATTGGGTAAATTATCAGAAAATGTGAAGATCTCTGAGATGAAATGGCTAGATTTATCAGGGTGGGTAGTCTAATCCCTCTTTTGCCACTGAGCAGCTCACACCAGAAGAGGAGGAAAAGAAGAGAATAAGGAGGGAGAGGAATAAGATGGCTGCAGCGAAGTGCCGCAACAGACGGAGAGAGCTCACAGACACCTTGCAGGCTGTAAGTGGAAATGCAGATGTGTCCGAATCCATGTTTGAAATGTCACAACACTGCAGCAATTCTTGAGTTTAACTTGAATCCTTTGTCCTCAGGAAACCGACAAGCTGGAGGAAGACAAAGCAGCTCTGCAGGCTGAAATAGCAAATCTTCTCAAGGAAAAGGAAAGACTCGAGTACGTTCTCGCCACACATAAGCCTTTGTGCCAGCTGCCCGAAGAGCTGGACAGCATTTTCCCAGAGTCGCCACAGCCGCTCCCTTCTTCAGAATCGACCAGCAAGCTCCCCGAGGATGGCGCACAGGACACACCTTCTCTACAAGACTTGGAAACCCCTTCCGTCCCATCCTCAGCTATCTCGGGGAACTCCAACATCCTGCTGTGCTCCAGCGCAGAGGTCAGCCTGTGTGACCTTGAGCCATCGCTGGACGTCAAGGAGGAGCTCCTGGAAAATATCCTTGGTACAGTGGATGAGGACAGGATCTCGGTGGAAACAGCGCGCTCTGTCCCTGACATTGACCTTACTGGTTCCCTGGGATTCACAGACTGGGAAACCCTGTACAAGTCTGTGGCCAATGACCTGGAACCCTTAACCACCCCTGTGGTGAGCACCTCTACACCCACGTGCAGCAATTACCTGTCCGTCTTCACCTTTGCCTGCCCAGAGCTGGACTCTCTTGCTGAGGAACTGGATGGCTGCAAAGGTGGGACATCCAAATCTGATTCGAACGTAGATATCCTGAACTCGCCCACGCTCCTGGCATTATAAACACAAACGTGACAGAAACAAAGGTAGTTTGTTTCATGATAACGGTCTCAACTATTGGATATCACTGTGTTATGATATCTGAGATGAGTGGTATTGATGTGAAGCCCGCAGTTTAGTGGCCGCATCCACGAAATATGTAACGTGACCAAGATAGTGTTTATCCTCTTCCAGATAATTTTGATGTAGCTAAGAGCATGGAAAAATTATCCTATGGACAGTTATGAGCTATGTTCTGGTTTGAAAAAGCATGCGCAAAGATCTCATATGAATAAATAAATAAATAAGTGAACAAACAAATGAATATATAAATTAACAACATATATGTATGTATCAGTTTTATATTTGTTTGATCTGATGTGAGGTCTTCTGTAAGCTGTATTGTGCACTGTTCACTGTGCAGTTTTGTGTTTTTTGATGGCAATAGTTTATCAATGTTGTGCTTTAGTACACATTCTTGAAGTTCTTGCATACCTCAGTGTCATCATTCAGACTGTGTTTTGACGTCATTAAAATGTTTAGAGTTTTCCATGAAAACATCCAGTGCTATATCGATCAAGATGTATTTTATGATAATTTATTTTTCTACCTTTTAAATTTTGACTTGTTTGTCAAATGAGAAGAGTTAAATGAGCATTGATTGCTTATGAATTAATATTCACATTAAATATTCATGCAATGTGACCATTGTCTCCTTTATTTTTTTTCTGGACAATGTGAAATTCATATTGTTAGGTCAAAACATCCGCTGCAATGACAATTTATGCATCCCAAGAATAATCTCATTAAATGCATGAGTTGAACATAGAAATTAGTTTTCAGTTTTTGGTAGTTAGTTAATTTGTTTCTGTTAATGTGAATAATATTAACATAATGAGGGCAATGACATTATTTCACTTATGAGATATGTGTACTTCTCACCATTCACACACACACACACACACACACACACACACACACACATATATATATATATATATATATATATATATATATATATACATATATATATATATATATATATACACACACACACCCACACACACATACTTACAAAAAAAAGGGTACTCTAGAGGGACAATTTTGTATGTAAAAGAAACACTACATTCACTACTTTCCCATTGGACAGGTGCTTTACATAACCTTTTTCAAAATAGAAAAATAAAATAAAAAGCCTGAAGTCAAGACACCAGTACGGAGATAATGCAACTTTGAAAAAAAAAAATGGAATATTGTACATTTATGATAACTAAAGGTACTGAAAACAAACCCCAGTCACAGTTTAGTGTCTTAGTATACAGTACTCTGCAAAAGTCAGAGATCACCTTTCAAACATTAAGTAGAAGTTATTTATTTTCAGGAGATATTTCTGAGTAAATTAGACAATAATCCACTTCCATAAAAAAAGGTAAACAAATGATGGAAGGTGTGATAAAGCCAAGGGTGGACACACTAAATACTGAAATTAATTGACATTATACTGAGTTGTTGAGGCTTTAGTGTAATTTTCTGTTAAATATATTTTTTCCCTGATACTGAAAAGTGAATAACTTAAATTTAATGGCTGTTCTGAAATTTGAACCAAAGAATTAAATGTTAAATGCTATTGCTTTGTTTATATAGTAGTGTTATTATTTTCTACAACAACAACAACAGCAATAATAATAGTAATAATAATAATGATAATAATAGAATTTACATAACATACACAAATTAATAGACAAAATGTCCATTTCAAGTGTTTCTATTTTACTGTTTACTGTTTGTAATTAAAATGTGGAATCATTAAGTTAATTCATAGGGGCCTTAATTTAATTTTGTATTTGTTTGTTGTATACATATATATATATATATATATATATATATATATATATATAAATGTTTTTTTCCATGTTGTAGTTTGATAAATAACACTTTTTTATGTTCAACATAAAACTGACTGATTTTCCAGTTTACTGTATGCCTTTAACACATTTAGAATACTTAGAATAATCCACAAAATTAAAACATACGATCTTTTAAAGCAACTCCGTCAATGCTTGTTTGTGAACTAATCAGTGCACAACATGTAGCAAACATGCTCGTTAGACAAACTTTAAAGAAGACCTCAATTAACAGCTTCTTTACAAACACTGAAGTTCCTGCTAAACCTGAGTAGACTGATAAATCAATGTGATGATCAGTTATTAGTCTCAGTGTTCCTGAGCTCTGCTAAAGCCTGAGTAGACTGATAAATCAATGTGATGATCAGTTATTAGTCTCAGTGTTACTGAGCTCTGCTAAAGCCTGAGTAGACTGATAAACCAATATGATGATCAGTTATTAGTCTCAGTGCTACTGAGCTCTGCTAAAGCCTGAGTAGACTGATAAATCAATGTGATGAGCCAGTTATTAATCTCAGTGTTACTGAGATCTTTTAAAGAAATGATCAAACTGATAATCCCCTTCAGTGGTGGACATGTTTGCAAGTGATAGGTTTTGCTCAGGGGATTGTGGGTGCAGCAGTGGACTGATATAGGCGCTGAGAGAAAAAAAAAGTTAATTTTTTTTAAATGGTAAGGAATTTTTCATGAAACGCATTAACAGAATAATTACATAAAGAAAACTGCCAACTGGTGACAACCAGGAATGGTATGAATGGTAAAAAATAAAAAAATCCCATGTGCCTTACCAAGATGTATTGTAAATATTTTCTGAATACATTACGCTTTTATATATTGCAACAGACTACATTACCGAACACATTTAGTCCAGTGTACTCAGTATTCAGCCACCACTACTTCAAAGTATACTGTCCCAGACTGTATATAGTAATACACAATGTAATACATCCGCTGTATAGTGCATGGTGTATAATATACTCCAGATCCCCCAGAATGATTAGCACATATTCGCCTAATGCATGTGGTATAATAAGCGTATTAGTCCAGGCCAATTATCACTTATTCATACACACACTTACACACAGCGTAGTGGTCAGTGTGAGGAACACAGATTACAGCTGTGATCCAGAAGCACTTTGTGTGCTGAAATGTTTCTTTACAAGCGGTTTTATGGCTGCGAGTCTCCATATTTTTTCTGGGGTCTTTCTCTCTAAGGGTGGACGAGCTGTTTGTTTTTTGGTATCTAAGGGGTGGAGCCAGCAGACCTTCCCTGCCTTCTCCCCCTCTCTGCCCCATCTCTCTCTCTCTCTCTCTCTCTCTCTCTCTCTCTCTCTCTCCCTCTCTCTCTCTCTGTGCGGGACTTTCTGCATCCCTGCTTACGTGTGGCAGCGCGAGCAGGCTGAGTTCCGCATTCCCCAGTCCTCCCAGGCAGGGATCGCTATATAAACGCGCTGATGCAACGCTTTCCCCTGTTCAAAATCTACTCACGACCCCCAGCTGACCTCAAAAAGGCGCATCCAGTGAGCTCGGCACCAAAGGCAGGTAAGCAGGACACTCGGTGAACTTTTTGCAGCAGGACTGGCTTTGCACGGCGCCACGCTCGCAGTGGGCTACAGGGAGGCAGCGAGGCTTTTTCCTCACACTATGCAAACCCCCGTTGGGCTGCACTTTATGGCCTAAAATGGACTGTATAACCACTGAAGTGTGCAGATTAACCTATGCAGAGTGTCCGTCTGTCTGCACTTGTTGTGCTGTGTACTGATTCCGGAGCGCTGTAGTCTGTCTATCTATGCAAATGGTCCTCAGCCTACATCTCCACTTTGGACCTCACTGCACAGGGCCATGTCCACGGACAGTTTTTTTTCTCTGAGGCGAAGTTTCACCGGCTGAGCTCAGTTCCATATTGAACAGAGGGTGTAAACGATTCAGTGGTGCAGCTGATGATCCTGTAACTCTTCTCTCTGGTTTTCCATTAGATACTGCAGGGCAGGCTGCGCTCAACTCCATGTTACGTAAGATCAGCTACATGCTTTCCTGACCAATGACTTCCGCTTTGAGACTGAGTCATGGCACAGGGCGTGTTACTTTAGGATTTCAACTTGCAGAATACGCATAGGCCATATAGATAGTGCTACATAAGGATATGTCGTATACATATTGTACTGCAGCATTCACTATATACTCTGATATAGTACAATATTTCTGAATGCTCATATATTTATCAGGGCTGTACCCTCAGTAAGTACAGCCTACATAACAGTGCTGTTGGAACAAAACCTTTAATCTCCAAAATGGGAATTTTAGTAATTTTTAAATGCAAGTCCATGTATTATTCTTGTAAATTAGTACCATGAAGTGTTCAACAATATAAAGTGCCCCTGGCATTTTGAAATTATGTACAAACTTGTACATAATACACAAAACAAAAAAAACGAAATGGAGACACGTTATTCTCTACAGGATATATTAAAATAAGATGAAGAATAATATATGTATGAGGCGCAGAGACATATAGTATATGACATTTTGAACGACGCTGGTCAAATAACATGTTTTGTTGATAAGTGAACACATCCTTTACTTAAATATGATTTTTTTTCTGTTGAGTTTAACAAATTGGTCAATTAAATTTGTTAAAATGGGTTAAATAAAAAAAAAAAACATTTTATGTTTTAATTTTATTCATATGTTTACACACACACACACACACACACACATACACACACACACACACACACATATATATATATATATATATATATATACACACACACACACACACATATGTGTGTGTGTGTAAATATGTATATCGTAATATAATATATATATTACCTCGTATCTCCATTTTTATCATTTTTCAGTTTTTGACATAATTTGAAAATGCCTACTGTCCTTTATATTGTGTGTCAATTTCAAAACAAACGGTCCAAAACTACTTGGATACAATTCAAAAGAATAATTCAGGAATGATGTACAGGTAGTTATGTACATCAGTATGTAGAGCTATACTTTTTAGGTCCATTGATGAAGTAAAGAGTGAAGGTGATTTGAGGTCACAGACATTCAGTAACAATAAAGGTGTGAGATGGCACATGGTTTACATTGGTAACAAATTCGACATGTTTTTGGTTTACCATTAAGTGATCGTTGCCAAGCTAAATGCTTTTGTAGCTTGCTTTTATGTAGGTAGGGTGTCATACGTATCACTGATCCACACTGTGATCTAGAGCTGGGCAGTATATATAAAATATATATATATATATATATATATATATATATATATATATATTACAAATCAAAATCACTTGCATTTAAAGTTTGATAGTATTCTTTAAAATGTGGCACTGCTGGCTCTTTTTGGCCTGTTCTAACATGTCACTTGTCAGAAAAAATAAACAATTAATGATACTAAATTTTTATGATGTTGTCCACCACTGGTCAGAATCAGTAAAATGAGGATTTTCATTTACAAAGGAAATGATTAACGTTTAACATTTAAAGTTATAACATACTTCAGTTTTAATGCCAGTATATCTTGGAGTGTTTTTTGAGGCAGGACAAGGGAAGATGGAGGTAGCTTTCATTCTGATCCACCAACAGTCATATGCTTACGTTATGCGACCAGACTGGGAAATCTCTACAAGATTTGAACAGCTGAGTAGCAGAGTTGCGTTTACTGTTGACTTTTGAATCATCTGTCTTTACAGGTTCTATAAGCACATTTGAACTATTATTTTCAATTTGCACTATAATGATACTACAAATTATCATGTAGAACTCCATGTATGTGGTGGAGACTCTCACATTGCATTAGGAGCTTTGCTTTTTTTTTTTTGCTAGAGCCATTTAGATTAGTATAATACATCTTTAAAATTACTGTTGTCCACAAAATCCCTTGTTGTTGTGCAGTGAGCTTTGAGAGTCAAGGCTGCTAAGTGTCTGAAATGTCTTGAAGCCGTAAAGGTCATTGTCATTAAGTAGCATTATAGATAACGTCATAATAACACTGTTATGCAACGAGAAGCAGTGCAGTTTCAGTGCTTCCAGATTTCCTTGCCCTCTTGTTGTTGTATGCAACTTTTCGGAACTGAAACTGATTTTCTGTCCTGACAGTACTTGCTGTACTTTATTTATTATTAAAGGAAAGATTAACTTATTATTAAAACATTTTCTATTTATTTATTTATTTAAACAGATACATTTCACTGTCAATGAAGTTAATTATATAGCATCATAACTTCCTCAGTAAGTCAAAGCAACAAACCTGCAGAGATCCTTTGGTTTGAGTGGGATGTAGAAACTTGTTATTATTGTTTTTTTTGTTTTTAATCATTTTTAACTTTACATACAGTACTGTGCAAAAGTCAGAGACTAGCATTTGTTTATTTATTTCCAGTCAAACACTAAGTTAAATTTCTGACAGGATTAGATAAAAGATCCACATGCAAGAGGAAGAAAAAGGTCAAAGGAAAATTAGTGTAAAAAACAATGGTTTCCAAAACTGGATTTAAAAAAAATATTAAATACAGACAAAATGGGACTTGCAAGACCTGGTAGACTACCAAAACTGTCCCCATCAGATAAACAACAAACAAAGCTTTCAAGTTTCCACAGATGTTTCTGTCCACCCTTCCACTATTAGACGACAACCCAGCACTATGAGTCTGAAAGGATGTGTAGCTGTCAAGAATCCCTTACTGAGGAAGTAAATAGACAAACAAGAAGAAAACTTGCAAATCAAACAAAGAAGCTGTTGGTGTTTTCAGAACAATGGACTGACCTCCCCAGAGTCCAGACATCAACATCCCTGAATGTGTTTGAGATTACTTGGATCATGAGAAGCAGAAAATGCTAAACCTACTTCTAAGACTGAACTGTGGAGGTGTGGAAAAAATATCTTGGCAGATTTCTTTGAAAAACCCAAATCCAGTCTCCCAAAACGAATGAAAGGCAAAGTGTGGACACACTAAATACTGAAAAATGTTATATTTAGTTGTTAAGTCTTCTGTGTAATTTTCTGTTAAATATATGTGTTCTGTTTTTTTTTCCTGATGCTGATATTTGTATATAATGAATTTTTTGACTGGAAATTATATAAATTAAGGGTGTTCTCTGACTTTTTCACAGTACTGTTTATATTAGTAATTTAATCAGTGGTTGAAGAAAAGATCTTGTGGCGATATTCAACAGAATTTACAGTGTATTGAATAGTTTTTTTTTTTTCTTTTTCTTTTCGTTCCTTCTTCTTCTTCTTCTTTTTTTTTAACTTGGGCCTTTTCCCAGATGCCCATCTTGCAGGTATTTCCTTACTGTAGTGATTAATACAGGCCTACAGGTTTGTTCTTTCGCCATTTAAGAGAGCACAGGGCTAATTTAAGCCAGCCACAGTGTACAGTGCGCCCAAGCTGACTTTGGTATTTGTCTCTTTTACGCAGATGTTGGTTTTAAGGCGTAGAGGAAATTCAAATAATGCTTAATGAACACCATGTTTCGTTTGCTTTATTTGTACACTTCAGTGCCTGCTGGCTGCTGGCTAGGACAATGGAGTGGCCGATTATTTGGTGAGGACTTTTGACTTGCAGGGGTTTAATTTCTTGTTCGACCTGCATACAGATGTCTTTCTGTCACTTTTGTGTTATTTCGCCTTGGCGTTTAAGTTATTGGATAATACACTGTATTCCAGTGCCTTTAATAATAGTTCAGTATTTCAGTGCAGCATGTACATAGCTATATTTGAAGAAGCTTTAGTGTGGTGCTCAATATAGGCCCAGACAAAGAGCAACACATTCTGTATTACAGTGCTCTATAGAGCTTTCTGGTGAAAATCTAAACAAAGGGAACACTGTTGTATTCCGTTTATTTTTCCAAATTACTCATGCTGTCATCGCTTGAATACATGCTTGTCCCGACTGGCCCGCATGGAGTTTTATTTGGAAGTGTGCTACAAGTTTCAAGGATGGAGATTTGGGTAGATTTACTCAGGAAGCAGCTTTCCTTAATGGTATTCAGTAGGATGGGGGATGTGTAGGCATATTATACTCATCTAAAACTCTATTTAATAGACTCCTGCAGTTTTGTACCTGCAGTGTGGATTCTCTCGTAGGTCATATTTACAGCTCATCATTTGCGCTGTGCAGAGGATGTGAACTTGGCAAACTACCCAAATGCTTAAGATAGACTGAATTATAGCTTTTGGAAAAAAGAAGGTTCTGACAGTATGTACAGCTTGTATTGTGGTTAATGATGGATTTCCCAGTATTAAACAGTTTCAATATTTGTTGGCCCAAAGTAATGACCAGTGATGACATAGTGCAGTCTTGGCCACTGCATGGTGGAGTTCAGGGACCTCTGAACTGAATACATGTGATTCAGAACATCAAAGCATTTTATGAGTTTTGGTTTGGTAGGGCAGGACAAACACTACTATGTAGCTTTGTGGCCTCTCTGCACTGAAGTTTGACACTCACTGTACATTGTAAACTGGAAATACATCAAATACATCAGGCAATTCTATCCATACCTCACATTTGAGGCTAGTTACAGAAACCCAAATGTGCTGACATAGGCGTTACACTGCTTTGGGCTTTTTTATATGTTGTAATCATGTTCTTATTGAATTAGAGAACTGCTGATATGAAAAAAATTGTTGCTGAGAATTTGAAAATTCTAAAATAACAAGTAACAGTCCTCTTTTGTGTTCATCACGGCAATACCAGAAATCACTGAGTAGTCAACATCCACAGCAGACAGAAAATAGGATCTCAAATTTTCATGTAGACTTCGTTTGCAGCCTCAAGTCTCATTAAAAATGGGATTTTTAAAAATAAATTATTTTGAAAAAGTTTAAGAGCAAGCCAGCGGCGAAGGCTGATGACATTGTCCTGTTCTTCTGTGGCCACATTCCACTGGCCTGACACAGAGAGAGAGTGAGAGAGAGAGCAGGCCTGTGTGGGGGGAACATAGGCAGCAGGCGGGTCTTGGCTGGCTCCCTCTCTTCTTCTCTCCACGGAATAAAGGGGAATGTGTCTGGGTCTACTTTTGTGCAGGCACTGCTGTGTGCCTCTCCCCCTGGCCTCTGTAGAGCAAAAAGGGGGGGAAAATTGAGCGGATCTCGCCAAAGCGTCTGTAAATGGGAGTATACTATACATGCAAAAGAAAGGGTGGAGAAGAAGCTTGTAAGAAATATCTCGCTTGGAGCCAAGACATGGAGTGAGCAAGGACTGATAGAATTGGTAGGTGAACAGAGAGAGAGGAGCCGGGGGAAAAGGTAATTGGAATTTAATAACAAGCATGTGTTTGTATGTTCTTACTCAATCCGTATGTACAATGTTGCCAGTCTTACTGGTAGGGATAGATGGAGAGGGAATTTTGATTGACCAGATTTGCTTACTTATGTCTCTACAGTGTATTTGATTTGTTAAATCTTATAGGTGTTCAGACAGGCCAATTCTTTTCAAGAGTTCAGACAGTCCCGTTCTTTTCAGCATACGACTTTTATTATTCCTGAAGAAACCTGGAAGCTCTGCTGAAAGTAGTGGTTTCAGCACTCTTGCTCATCATTATTACAAGACTACAGGCTGTTACAGGCTCAGATAACTAAGAATTTAGGCTTAAAGCTTAGAAAATCTGCATTTTGTCACTGTACCCTTGAATGAGGCATGTCCCCAAGGAGTGATGGAAAGATGACAGAACATGATGTGACAGATGATGATATGATGATGAGATTGTATGACAGAAGTTACCACTCTTGATTCAGGATTTTTAGTACCCTATTGGCCGGTTCATTATATGTGGTTCATTACAGAAAGCCTCTAAAGGCTTCTAACAAATATCAGAAAGTGATGCCCTGTGGGGCAACAGAATCATGTTACACTATTAGCAATAAAGGTTCTGTGCAGGTAAATATTTCGTTCATCAAGGTACAAACTGTGTAAATGTATCCTCAAAGGTACAACAGTGGTTTTAGGGTTTTTCCAGGTGAAAAGTACAGATTTGTATCTTTTCGTAACCTAATGTTTTAAAACAGAACATAAATAAAAAAGCCTGGAGACGAGACGGGGTGTGTGGAGTCAATACAACTTAGAAAATATAATTTCAATGGATTATGGTACAGTTATGTTCCCTGACTAAAGGTACTGAGATGTACCCTTGAGGGGACCACCCCAGTGACAAGAGGGTCCTGCCTCAGTGAAAGTTTCTTAGTTTTTTCAGAGAGGGTACTTTGTGGCTTTAAAAAGAAGGGACGCACTGATATGGGGATTCTTTTATTTTTTACATACATATCTGCCGATGCTGATGTTGAAACATAAACATGAATAAAACGTCTACATCTACCTGGATTAGCATTATGGAGAAATATAACATTTATTTCTAAAGGGTTACAAATGCAGTCAAATGAATAAAATGCACACATTTTAACACAGTAATCCAGCATCGACAAAATGTTCTGCTCTCTTGATGTACAATAAATACCTCATCAAATTTCTATTTGAAATATCGGTCAAATCTGTTTGATGCTGGTATTTCCTGAAAAAAAAACGATATGATTTTGATATTATCATGCATCCTAATTAAGCATGTAGATGACATGTTTTTGTTAGATACACATGTAGATACAAGTTTCTGACAATACTAAGCACCTCGGATATCGTCAAACCTCATCAGAGGTTCAGTCTAGCTATGCTTTCTCCAGATTTAGTGACTGAAATTCAAAATGACTTAATGAATAACGGTTACATCACTGATGTGCCATGTATTAAAAAGACTGGGGCTTCATCATCCTGTACCATTCATAGACATACAAAGACCAAGACCTTGCAGGAGGTTAGCACTGTTTGTTTGCTGCGGTGTGTTTTGTTTCCATAGAGATGGTACTTAAGTAAAAATGAGCTCAAACCTATCCCTCTCATGGTCTCTCTTCTAGCTGTGGTCAAGGGCGTGTGTGACATGATGCCCGGACAAATCCCTGACCCCTCAGTGACGGCAGGCTCTCTGCCCAGCCTAGGCCCGCTGGCAGGCATCTCTGCCACGACGCTTACGGATCAGCTTAAATACGCCGACCTGTGCAGCCTGGGGGCCATGCTGTCACCACTGCACCTTCTGGGCAAGCTGGGCAAACGCCACCTTCCCATTAAAGCAGAGGTGAGGCATTTAAGGGGTTTAGGTAGCTGACTTCAGTACGTCTTAGCATAGTAAATTTACTCTGAACATATATAAAACATTTGACTGTTGGAATTTACTTTATTCATATTAAACACATAAAATGTGCTTTTGTTTACTAAATTTCTGATTGCATTTTTATTTATAGTTTAAAATATACAGTGTTATTCTGACATTATTAAGAACACTTTTAAAAACTAGAATCCAAACTAAGGACAGTATCCTCAGTAAAATGTCCTTTATAAATTGAGCGCTTGCAAAGAAAGACAGTATTTTTACTTTTTACTTTTGATTTTTTTATGTAGAAGTCATATAATCATGGTACGTCATTTTTTGATGCCCTGTATTTAAAATAAAGAGTTCACTAAAATGTAAATAAAGAATAGTTTGGCTTTTTAATATAAAAGGTTGTACAAAATATAATAGAACACCAAATAACTGATAATCCAAAAAATGGCCAATATATGTTTTTTGTTGGAGGGGCTCAGTTATACTGAGATTTATTAGTATTGCACAGGGAACATAAAAGATGCATATCAACAAAGATTTAGAAATTTAAATTTAATGTGAATTATTAAAAATGCCAAGAACAACAGCTCCATCTACTGGATAGTCAGGAGTCTTTCATATAGCACACAAGACTACTCATTGCCATATTGAAGGAAGCTTTGGGTAAATGGAAAGGCTGGTTCAGCATATTTCTTTTCAGTTTTCATCAGAATCAGAGGCTGGATTCACGAAAGCTTTCTTAAGAAAAAGTTTGCGAATGTTCTTCAGACAAACACTAAGAAGTTCATAAGAATGTTCTTAAGTGCAATTCTTGAAAAAACTTAAGAAGTTCTTGAATATTCTCCTAAAACAATATTAATTATTTTCCTAAGATTTTCTGAAGAAAATCTTCAATGTTTTCTTATGTAAGCTACATTTCATTTTACCACATACCATAAATGATGTGAGATACATTTTGGATTTTATTTTATTTTATTTGTTTAGTTTAATCCACTCAGAGGAGCAAAATGGACGAAAAACATCAAACAAAGAATTAAAAAAATAAATGAGCAAACAAGACCTAGAGGTGATGCTGGAAGATACAGCCAACAGAAAAGAAATTCCTATTAGAACATATGATAACTGTGGGGTGATTGATGAGGATGGGCAGGAGCAGCAGAGGCAGCTTCTGTGATAAATTTAGATCTTTACCTTGTCAACTCTTACAGCCTAAGACAAGTGTAAAGCTATCATTAAGAAAGATTAAGAACACCTTTAAGAACATAATATTTTCAAGGGTACCACTTGTTCTTAGAATTACTCTAAAGAAAAGAGTTAAGAAAAGAAATACAATAATTCTTAAGAAGTTATTTAAAGGATAACAACTTCTCGTAACTTTTTTCTTAAGAATAAAGTTAAGAAAAAGCACACATTCAAGAAGATTTTCTTTCTTAAGACACTCCAGCCCCAGAGTTCCAGAATCCTTGACCACTACCTTTAACCAATTATAACCAGGAACTTTAAAGGGTCCATATCATGGAAAATGTCATTTGTCTCACTTTTTTCAATGATGTAGTTTTGAAACACTGTTAAAGGTTCAAAACATACCATTCACTCCCCAGTTCATACAATATACTGAAACTAATCTGCAAAAAATTGAATTCACTGTTTTTGTGATGTCACTAAAACCAACACATTTACATATATGTACCTATTAAATCTACAGCAGTTGATGCACAATATAGGGCAGCCAACAGAGGTCATGTACATATATCAGTCTTAAAGGCACAAGAACAAAAACAGCCTGTTTAATTTTAAGGGATAAAGAGAGGCTGGAAAATGGAAAATGGAAAATAACTAACGACTGTTTATGGGACATGGACCACACATCTTAAATGAACCTTGGAGGAAAAATACATTAAAATGTAGGACATGAGCCCTTTAAAACACCACTGAAAGCTTGCCCTCTGTATGTATGCATTCATCTGTGCAGTGGTGAAGGTTGAAGTTGTCTGATGTCTAATGTCGATTTTTCTGCCCTCTTTTAGAAGGATGAAGAAGAGGAGAGGAGGAAAAGAAGGCGAGAAAAAAACAAAGTGGCAGCAGCACGATGTCGAAACAAAAAGAAAGAACGAACAGAGTATCTACAACGGGTGGGTATTCTGCTGTATCCTAAAAAATAATATTAGTACTTTCACTGGCAGAAGTGGCATTATTCAGTTATTCGGAGCTATACAGAGTTTAAATGATGTTACATATATGAAAATTATGCACAGTTCTGTGCAAAAGACTTAGGTAGCCATGAAAATTGTTTAAAACACTAAATCCTGACAGTAAGTTTGTTTTTCCTGGTACAATATGTTTTTTTGATTGTGTATTTATTCCATTTTTTTAAAGAGATTTCTTATTGCCAAGATAAATGGATTTGCATATTATTTTCTCTGATGCCTAAGACTAATATATCAACAATTAGACAGTGTCCTTCAAACGTCAAGACTAAGGAATATAAATGTACCTGTGTACATCTACATAATAACAATAACACTACAAAGTCCAATAGTCATGCAAAATGATTGTTTGTGTGTTCTGAAACTGTGCCGTCAGGAGTCGGAGCGGCTGGAGATGATGAACTCGGAGCTGAAAGCACAGATTGAGGAGCTGAAGCACGAGCGCCAGCAGCTCATCCTCATGCTTAATCGTCATCGGCCCACCTGCATCGTGAGGACGGACAGTGTGAAAACCCCAGAGAGCGAGACTAACCCCCTGCTGGAGCAGCTGGAGGCTAAATGAGGAGGCGCAGAGGCTCAGAGTGGTGCCTTTCCACAGTTACTGTTTACAGGTTAGCTTCCATACAGCTAGCTAGAAGCACTTAGCTCTAAGCTCTTGGACATTTAAAGAGGAATGAGTCAAGCACTCCAGCCTGTGAGCTTGGAGTTTAAGAGCCTTTGTGGACCCTGCTCCCCCTCTCCCCCGAGCCACACAGACATGTCCCAATCAGATTGGGCTATGTGCTGACAGTTACAAGTTTGTATTACTGTTACTTTTTCTATTTGTGGTCATTCAGTGCCTAATAAGTTCATCATAATCCAACAAGTTAAAAAAGAACAGGTTCGGAGGAGTTTGGTAACAACACTTACTTCCTCTCGGTATCATGTATGATGAAAAGGCTAACGGATGAAGCATTGCTATCCGTGTTTGTGGCCTTTTGCCAATGTAACTGGATGATTTGTACTACACTCCTTGTGTCTTCATGATACTGAGTCATGACTTGCCCTCAATAGCATTTTTTTTTTTTGACGCAGGCGTCATGTATGCACATATATATGAACTGTTTACATCATTCTGTTTTATTAGTTACCTACAATTTATATATATTTTCTGATTTTTATACTTCTTGTACATTACATTATATGGACTGTTATCACTAGATGTGATACATTTTATATTTCTGCAACAAATAGTTATATAACCTTTTTTCTGTGACTTACTCATTTTGTTTAATGGCTGTGAAGAAATGCAAACAAATATTAAACAGGAGTCACTCCTAAATGTTATTTTGCAATATATGACATGTATTTGGGTAGTATATTCTATAGTCCTTAATAATTAAATAATTTCTTCTTCAACTCTTTGATACCTCCAGTGCATTCTCAAATCAGGTTTTTGTCCTCTTTCCAAAGAAAAGTTGCTCCATTTTTATTAAGTAGCTCACTATATGATACAAAATGATACAAGATGAAACACAAAATGCGAAAGTAAAGTCATTACAGCAGCTGAACATCAAACATCAAACAGCCAGATTGTCTATGAAGTTTCTGTGGTCTGCATAGAATTAATATGACTCTATGACTCTATGCTAATTGAAGGCCTTAACTAAACGTCTGTGAATATTGCTCATTTTAAAAATCATGGTAGTCTAAGAATAAGGTGCTCTGATAAAAACTATGCACAGAGCATGACTGATGCATTTGTCTCTTATTTTTAAAATTTTTCATCAGTTCTCCCCATATATCTGTGTTATACTGTTATACGGATGCTGAAGGTTAGGTCCGAACGCATGATGGTGTTTTGTGGTCTAATTTACCATGTCATGTAGTCAAAGAAGGGGTGACTCTTATTGGGTTCCCTGGTGGTACACCCATCTGAGGGTTCATCCTCTCATCAGGAAATTGCTTATATATTGGTTGAACTGTACTTTCTATGATTTCAAATGTGTGTTGTGACTCTGCAAGTCTGCAATGATGTAACACCAAAGTTACACAATCAGGATTTGTACAGTATGGAAGTGAGTAAGTGTCTGCACAAACTTTCCATGCTCATTCTTTGCATACAGTACCAGATTAGTATTATGCAAGCATGATCCAGATATAAAGAATTACAGACCTAATCTTTATCAACAACAATATAATATATTTCAATATTTCTTTCAACCAGCTTTTTGTATGCATTGTATATACTGGATGGTTATGATATATTGCTTTTTTTCTGAACAGCTCACCTTTTTAGATTAAAAGATAACAATGGTGGTCGCTCTGAAGATGATTGTTCTGAATAGACGAAGTTGGTCTGTTGCTGTGCTACCTGATGGAATTGCTGTGAGGAATGAAAAAGTGGTCCGCTGGAGACATCTAGTGGTGCATATAAGTAACAGCATAGAGGAAACAATAAAGAGGGTACCGCTTTCAGCAAAGGGAAATGGGGAAAGTGGGAATTATACTTTACAATGCAAATAAGAAAAAATACACTTGGGGTTATTAATTTTGCTCAGAGAAAATCACAGATTTCTCTTTGATGTGTGTAACGTAATTTACGAGAAGGGCACAAGCTAAATCTCAAATGGCTCCGTACTCCCTATGTAGTGCACTATACAGGGCATGAAATATCAAGTTCTGCAACCAAATGGTGTATTGTGTGTCTAACAGAAGGCTATTTGGCATTTAGCCATAAGCTGTACGATCCCCTATTTAGCATTTAGCGCGCTATTTGGGTCTAGAAGCTGTAGTTTAATGACTTGCACAGTGCACTATATAATGGATAAGGATTCTATACGGAGCCTGTTTACATTTGTGTGACTGTTAATGCTCAAATATAAAAATGTGAAAAATTCCGTTATTTGTACTGCTTGTAATGAATTAGGCTGCTGGCCAATCGTAGCGCAGGTGGGCGGGGAAAAAATACCGCGGTATAAACGTCACATGAATGAAGCAGTCCGCTGTTAGTCTGCCGTTGTTTCTGTCACTGACAGTCGATAGATCACTTCCAGCTTCATCTACACTGAGTTTACAAGTTAATACTGACTTAAGCTGAAGTTGAACTTTTCTGAAAGCCACAGACCGCATACAGCTGTGAAGGGAAGGCAGAAAAATGTGCGACTGTGATAACTCTGAAGATGTGAAAGGAGAGAAAAACGGACCTGTTCCTGTGGAGAGCAACATCTCGACGAGTGAACTTGTAGAAGACTACATAGAGTGCAAGGAAATTTCTCCTGAGAACCCCCAAGAGTGCAGCACCCGTTTGTATAAGAGAAGATGGGCCATAGTCTTCCTCTTCAGCTCCTACTCGCTGTGCAATGCCTTCCAATGGATCCAGTATGGGATCATCAACAACATCTTCATGCACTTCTACAGTGTGAGCTCCTTTGCCATAGACTGGATGTCTATGATCTACATGCTGACTTACATTCCCTTCATATTTCCAGTGACCTGGCTGCTGGACAAGAAGGGGCTGCGAGTTGTGGCTCTGGTGGCCAGCTCCATCAACTGCCTTGGGACCTGGATCAAAGTGGCCAGCGTTAGACCTCACCTCTTCTGGGTGACCATGCTGGGACAGTTTGCCTGCTCCTTCGCTCAGGTCTTCATCCTTGGGATGCCATCCCGAATCGCCTCTGTGTGGTTCGGCTCAGGCGAGGTGTCCACCGCCTGCTCCATTGGAGTGTTTGGTAACCAGGTGAGTAGTTGAGACCCAGAGCCCAAAGGTTAATTGAAATGGGCAGAGGTGAAGCCTAAAGCCATTCTCAACTAAACATGCTGGTGTTAACATTGTCTATTAGCAAATGACTGTGTAGATACTGTGTGCATACTGCAGTTGGGACCATGTGAAAGAGCTTTCTTGTGAGCTGTCTTACCATTTAAATAGGAGCAGTGGAAATTTGGTCACCTTGCTTGGGATTGCAGAGTTAGCAGCAGAAGTGGGCAGAGTAGCTTTGAATCGAGTAAAGGCTTTATTAGGCTCAATTCTTCTCTTTTTTGGATCTTTGTGGTTCAAAAGAAGACGCTATAGCCTGAGAGTGAGAGATCCTATTCCTATTCTTCGAGATATACTTAAGTTTAGTGAAAGTATTAGCATTTCATGGAACTTAGTAAGGTAATTATTTACTTTTTTTTTTTTAGACAGTGAAATGCTCTTTTTTTGCCCAATTAATAGCTTGTTTAGAAATAAACACTGATCAAAAACTTTGTAACATGATTATTCAGAATATGTCTGGAGTACGCTACAGCATCATCTTTCTTTGTGCACACTTTGTGCAGAGCCTGTGCACAGAAAGACAAAGTAAAAAGAACTGTGCTACAGTTCTTAGTATCTCACCAGTATATAACTCTAAGCCTAGTGCACCTTTGACTTTGATTTGACAACAGTAATGTAGAATATGATCAGTTCTTCTGATAGCAGCAATGTCAGTTACATTCACTCAACAGAAAGAGGCTTGCCCCAGAATCCAGAGGCCAAAAGCATGAACTCACCAATCGACTACGGTCTCTTGTATACACAGAGGTGGCTTGTCGTATCCTGGTTTACAAGGCATAAAATGACCAGTCTGTGATATACAGTAAGTTAAAGCTTGGTGGTTCAGGCAAAAAAAAATCCTTCTTATACTAAATGTAGTTGATCACACAAGACATTTTGGTGTTCAAGGTTTACCTCTCTAGTTTTGCAACGAGGCTAATGTAGCTAACAAGTAATAGAATCCTCACGGAAAATGTATATATATTTCACATGTCAAATGTGTGAAAACCGCACGTGTTTACAAGCATACATGTGACGCAAACTGTCCCAGCATGGTCACCCAAAACAGGTGAGGTCTAATGCTGGCCACTTTGATGCTTGTATGCTTGCATCAAATATATGTGAATAATGTGTGATCACAAGTAAAACAAAACACCACGTGATCACACTTTTTCACATGTGAACATGTTTTAAACATGAAATGAAGTGTGCAAAAACCATATGTGTTTATTCATATTTCAAAAACACCTCCTAAATAAAACACAGAGGGAACTATTAACGTTGGTTTCACAAGCACACACACACACACACACACACAGATCTGATAATTAATGAGTCAATTGAAAATTCAAAAACACTATGATTTGGGAGCTTAGTAGTCAGGAGTATTTCATACAGGTTAACATGGAATCATCTAAACAAAGTACCTGTTTAGATAGCTAGCTCCTTAGCTAGCATCTCTATAATAGCACTTACAGTGTGCATACGTATTTAGTAACGCATCATGGGTAAAACTCAGTCAGTGTCAAAGAAAGAAAACTTGCTGTATTACCTACCTTACACACTGTAATAGGATGTCAGGGTTACAGCTCAGACTGTATTAAGCCCTCTCTGGCATCTGATTATTCTAGAGAGGATGTGGCTTTAACTGTATTCCATAGTAAAAGACAAAGTAAGTCATTGCCAGTGATGATATAATAAAGTTTAAAATACTCATTCCCATTGTTAAAAACTTACATCTATTCTATCCATTTAAGTTTTCAGGTTTAGCCATCAGCTTCTAACCTAACCTAAAGAGTCCATTGAAAAATAAAAACAGGGACAGTGCACATGAGATCACATCAAACTGCTAGCTAGATGTGAGCCTAACTTATAGACGCCTTGCAAAAATGAAGGAAAAATTTGTTAGCAGTCATGCAACGTGTTTTGAATGTAAGCAGAGTTTGAGAGGTAAATTCAAAATCTTATCAAAAGATTTGGCGGCACCCGCCTGCGGAAAGCCTGCCCTAGAGGGCATGTCGTAGGGGGACTGTAGGCACTGCATCTCTTTTTCTTCACTGGGATTTTTTCTCTCAATTGCAAGGACACTTCATTGTGTCTTCTCACTTGGAAAAGCATCTAAGAGGGCACTTCATGAGTTTTTTCGTCAGAAATGCACCTGTAGGGGACATCAAGTTTATCCCATTGTGAGGGCACCTAAATGGCACCACATCACATTTTCTCCACTGGAGGGGCATCCATTAGGACACACTTATCCTAACACATTCTCACACATGTAGGGACACCCTTTACAGCACTGCATCACATTTTATCTTTTAGAGGGGCACTTCTCCCTTAGAGGAGCACCTAATTGGGCACTTCATAATGTTTTCTCACCTGTAGGAGTACCCTACAGCACTGCATCCCATTTTCTCCACTGGAAAGGCCACACTTTGGGACACTGTCATGTAGGGACTACATAGAGGGCACTTGTTAACATTACCCTTTTCCCCTGGAAGGGCACCCATAGTGAACATCAAGTTTAGACTATTGAAAGGACACCTTATAGGGC